CAGTTAAGATTCAGTTAGCTAGACAGGTAATGTTTGTACTACTAATAGTATCCCCAAAGAGAGGACCCTTATTCTGTCAGATGGTGAAATATAGAACTATTATGTCTACCAGAACCACCCCCATTGGTGATGACTAGACATCGGATTATATGCACTATCAAAATGCCAAAATATGCATGCAAATATGCACTAAAAAAGGGTGAAATATGCACAATAAAAAAACCATTTATAATTAGAATTTACATTTTCGACGTCAACTGACGTTACCGGACAGAACTTGAAATTTGGCGCCATTCCTGCAGAGACCTCTTCAGGAAGAGTTTGTCCGGTGCCGTTGATAAATGCGTCAATTTTCTTTATTTCGTAAAGACCGGGGTTTTTATACAAAACTGCATTTAATTTGCCACGAACCTTTTGCGATATTGAACATGGAAGGGCGTTACTCTGTTTAATCATTTTTTCTAATATTTCCAAGGACTTCCACAAAGGAAGGTTTTTAGTTTCTAGTTTTTCAATTGCATCGGGTATATTGCTGAAACTTGTGGCGTCGACGGCATAATACAACACGCCTCACACGTATAACTACTGAAATAAGCACTGTTAATGAAAAAGTACAATATATGTAAAAACGCTATAAAATAGAATTATATGCATTTGCATGTGCAAATATGCAAATGCATATAATCCGATGTCTAGTGATGACCAATGAATCTTGCCATCCATAATATTAAGAAGGGACTCTACTACACTCCAGGCTCTTTATTTACATATTAAATTTTATTTAAGATGTAGTTTTTCGTTTAAGACACACCGAGCGGCATGGACTAGAGGTTTAGACCATTGCTTAGCATTCGGGAGGACTCCGTTCGATTCCGGGTCCGTCTGCCTCGATCCAAGTTTTTCTGTGGTTTCCTTGGATCACTTGGGCAAATGCTGGGGCAGTAATATTCTTTCATTCTCTCACCCGAACCACCACCCACCCATTCCCACGATTCCTGAAAGGAGGCTTAGTTTAGAGAGATTGCCCGCCCACCAGCATTAGTGGCTGGTGGGAATGAAACACCCAAAAGAGGTATTTTTGTTTAAGACACAGATCATAATGAAGAGATCACATAATGTAAATACAGATCATATAATTCAGACACAGATCATAATGCAAAGAGAGATCATATAATCTAAACACAGATCACATGCAGAAACAGCTAAGATAGTTTCATACAAACAGGTTCGATGTACATAGACCATAGTGTAAATTAAAGTGTACACTACATGTAAGTTCAATACAAAATTCAACACAAATTGAACGTATATGCGTTCATATCTCAATAACAAATAGCATCGTTAATTAGTTTTGACGGTGCCGCTTTACTAATAGTTAGCAGCAAGATATTGTCATATACGAGCCCTTACAAGGCTACACCCGCCCTAACGGGGTGAAAGCATTGAATGGGTTCGACTAGTTTTTAATAACGAACGAGCAACATTAAGTATGCAGAGTTGAATGTCTAATTTCTATTGCATCCGAAGGAAGAGGGGTAAGAACTTAATGGGTTCGTAGAAGTTCGCGTCGGAATCTGAAATTACGGTGGCATAAATCTCTGTAATCTTGTACTATAACGTGCTTAGTACCCACTAACATAGTATTACATGGCAGTAAGTTTTCGGTTGGTTCCTAATAAGACAGCCCTAAGATCTACAGCTCAAGTTGGCGCCTGCAACGTTCCGATAAGGACCCGACGCATGCTTCCTATGACATAAAGAGTTTCATTTTTGCAAGAATATCACAGCCACAACCATCTACGTACGTCACATAGAATCATACCAACTACATTCTTACAACTACACTGCAGCAAACCACTATTTCCAACAAACCATCCCAGCATCCGAACGTCTTCTCGTTCGTTCTCATTTTACATACTTGCACATTACACTACCTTTCCAATATCGAATTTTTAAATATTCATGAAAATGACCAGCCACGACTCCTAATTTTTCAAAAATGAAACGGTTGATGGAAGAGTTGATGTACATTTTCCACATTATCTGACCTTTTTTATAACAACTGCTAAATGTTATGCTAAATCCTTTACATTCACTGATCCAACAGCAAACACAGAGTTCACCAAATCCTATAGATAAATTTTCGTGACTCGTGGTCTTCTTCTATGTATAACGTATCTATCCTATTATGTGACTGTAGCAAAACCCTATTGTTGAAGAAATTTATTGTTAAATCTAGCTCTTCGTTTTTTAATCTGGATGACATTCGTTTAATTGCTCAGCTGGTGTATCAGGTTGTTAGTTTGTCGTGTCGGGATTGGATTTTGGTTCTTACTCAATTTATGGTATACAAACAGAGCGTATGGAGTTTCGTATGGTGGTCAGGTGTACAGTAATTGACTCCATTGAGGACAGCGTAATGTATCAAAAGACAATTGGCAAGCGGCTTTGATACAAGTCAGTAACAGGCAGCAAGCTGTGACGGACGGAACGCGTGGAAACAACGTAACGGGGAAATCCATTGTCGTAATGGCGCGATTCAGATGGCGCATACGTATTTGAATCGCAGATTAACCCTCGAATCAAAGTGTGTTTTGGTAAATGACGTTCCTTTTGATGTTTTTCGATTAAAATCCAAGTCGCCATGTAATTGAAATAGGATTGCGCGGCCGGTAAAATCCTAATCTATATGCAAAGCGAAAGGCATAGGTGCCAACCAAGGACTAACTCTCCACCCTTAAGACTCCAGTTAAAACGGCACTAATAATAATAACAAAATAATACGTACCAAATAAAGGGTGAAAAGATTTTCTATTTTAAAAAACAACCAACGTTTCGCCTCAGATTACAGACATTATCAAGGTATTTTTAAAAGTCGATGATACTTAATACATTAACCAGCCGTAAATACACCATATAAAGAAACATAACTCACAAACACAAGTAAAGATAAAATAATAAACAATTAAAATCATCAAAAACTTATTAATTAAAAAACGTTAAAAAGGTAACAGCTAACAGTTACACAGCAGAACACCTAGAGGTACCTGTTTTCATGGCGTTATTTATTCAAGTTTTTAATGATTTTAATTATTTAATATTTTATCTTTTCCTGTGTTTCTTGAGTTATGTTTCTTCGTGGGTGCATTTACGGCTGGTTAGTATATTAAGGCGAAACGTTGGTTGTTTTTTTTAAATATAATTTTTTTCACTTCTTATTTGACACGTATTATTTTGTTGATACCACCCAGGGGAAGAATTATGAAATGAAATAATAACTAACAAAACTATGTGGTAATATTTTTTAAAGCAGCTTTTCTTTTTCAAGGGAAAATCTCTTGAAATGGGTATGTCACCGATAAGCCTTGGATACGTGAGCTTCAGTTAAATGCATTATGGAATTATTTCTTTTTCCTGTAAAATGTTTTACTAGTCGGTCCGTAATTCTTCACCAAAATACGTTAATAATAATTTGTTCGAAAAAATAGCTCAATGAATGTCAACGGGCAACGGGGAAGTTTTAATTAAAGATTTTTACTGGTAGTTGTACAGTTATTGTTATTAAAAACCTATACTCGGTTAGCTTTATTTTGCAATATTTCTCGTCATGTAGCTCGGGCGCTTATAATACGGCTCTGGCGTTTTACTATCTTCCGTTTATTAGGACATAAACAAAATCCTGAGGAAACCACCATTCGCGGTGATATGTTAAATTTATTTTCTGGGAATTATTACGCGCACTTGGCCGGAGAAAATATCACTGATAACTACCGCTTTAACTGTGTCCGACAGATAAATCGAAAATTGAATTGCTCCAGCTACCAAATGTCCATTAAATTTAATACGTACCTTACCTATTGACGTTTTGATAAGCTACGTTACACTCGCTTCTCTAAAAAGTATAACTTTCTACTTTTTATTATAACCAGCTTTTACCCAGTAGTCCGAGAACTAAGGACAAGATTGCACTTCATAGGAAATAAGGACAAATATTGCGGTAACATGTTCGAATAATAGGAGAAAGGGCTTAGGTCTTGTAAATAACAGAGTACCCGTTAAAGACAAGGGGTAGATACAGGGGATGAATACGTATACTGACCCATAAAAGTTTTTTGGAAACTATGCGTTACATACATGTAATTTCCACATGCGTTTCATAAAAACTACACAGATGAAAAAGGAAAATTTACCTAAATATTAAAGTGATATTTACAATTTAACCCAATAGCCCGCTGCTTCGTAAGCGAAAATATTAAAAATTACGATTTGGACCTGATTTTGTAAAAATAAAATCCCTGTAGAAATAAATTTACTAGGTATTTTAGTTGATATTACAAATTAAATTGTGATAATTCGGAAACTTGAAATAACTTTTAATGAAACATGTAAAAATTGAGATTATTGCAAGTTACCTAATAACCTACTACTTCTAGCGCAAATTCAGTCATTTACAATCATAAATTGTAATTTGGCGTTGTCATAAAAATTTAATTTTCTCCGTGTAACCCTAGACAAAAATTTTCAGTCTCTCTCCAGTCTCTCAGAGTCTTTCAGCGTCTCTCACAGTCTTTCACAGTCTCTCAGTTATTGCCTAGGTGTTTTGATGGATCTCTCACAGTCTCTGTATGAGAGACTCGAACGATAAAATTGTTAATTCAGAGATTCGAGTCTCTGGTTCAAAGATTCGAGTCTCTCGTTCAGAGACTGGATACGAAATGAGGATCTCTCTATGAGCGACTCGAGTCTCTCGTTCAGAGACGCTAAACAGTTTTTTTGACAGTCTTTCAACAGTCTCTCTCAGCAACACCAGAGAGACTCGATGAGAAACGGAGACTCGCTTTCAGAGACTCTGAGAGATTGATCGGGAAACTCAACCTAATTGGTCATTTCCAAGAGTAAGCATGTGGATGTTTATTCTTATTTTAATTTTACAATTTGATTAATCATGATTATAATAATACCGACTGCGAGTTATTAATTTACGTTCTCTTTTTTTGCAGACGTGCAAATTACCAATGCCCATGACCGCCACTTGTTACCTTAGACAGCGCAAAAGCTCTCGAACATAAAATCAAAGGATTCATAGCAAAGAAAGTTCCAGTCACGTTCTGGCACGTTGAGATATCGATCGACTTCAATCGGTTATACATAGATCGCAGTGGAATAACTATTGCATCGTTGTGGATTTTGATTTTTCACATGATTAATATTGATATATACATACATACGTATCATCTTCCACGACGTACAAGGATTATAATAAGGATTAAGGCCCAGTAACGCCATGAACAACGCATCTACGGTCAAGATAATATGGACGAAGACAACAAAAAGGATTTCTCATTATCTCGCACAAGGTAAGAACAGCTTGTTTTCATTTTGATGTTGTACTTGTTTGATAAGCTTAACATTTAGGTACATGATATTTATGTATAAATTAAGACAATTTTTATCAAACAAATACTACAACATTATAGAAAGGTTGGCTATATCTCTAGTCTGATATGTTATCATCTTTTATGTCAAAAACAAACATCTAGTTCTCCTATATGTACCATCGAAAAAAAATTACTTGTTGCGCTAAAAAATGGAAATTATGAAATCATAAATTTCTTCTTTGCACAAATATACCACAATATTTACATTATACTTATTCATCGAAAGCTTTTTTATTCCCACAAAAGGAGTACTCCGATTGTCCTTTTTACAGGAACACTCAAGTTTGATACATAATTAAGGTTAGTGCTTAAATATTCATCGAGAAGTATTTTTAGCGACTCAAATTGCGTAGGGTTACAAGCAATTTTTTTATTTTTTTTTGTTAATTCCTATTTTATTTTTAATTTATGTACCTTTTGAAGGTTAAGTCATAGTTAGGATATTTGTCCTGGTTTGAAATTTATACATTGTACAGGATATTTGGTTATTAATCGTTACAAATTTCATTGTTCTTTTTCATGTCTCATATTAATTTTTTTCACTATTTCCACATTAATTAATTACTTGAACGTTCAATTATATTTGTGCCAATCTAGAGGTCGTAACTTTTTAAGGTTTCAATTTTTCTTCACAATAAATATAAAATTCAAGAAACATAGTTCGAAATTTTTTAAAACGGAAAATCTGCTAACGCTAAATCTTACTTTTTCGTCCTTCAGGGGTGAGATGTTGATAGCCTATGAGTTTCATATCCGTTTAAATATTCTAACAAATCATTCACTTGGACGTTAAGAATGTAATTTTACCTGGCCCGATCGAGAAACGGTGGTCTTAAGAGCACCGTATTGTCGTAACCAATTCTTATAAAATTAAAATTTAGTGCGCCGATATTAGAGACTCGGAGGAGACTTGACTCGAATCCTCCACCCCCTTTTTCACTTCAGTCGATAGATATTGGAATTCCAATACGGAACGTAATTTTAATTAGATAAACTTTGCTTAAATTGGACCGGTAGATAGGTAGCTACACGCTATATTAACTTACTTTCAAGAAATTAATTTTGAAAATTTTGTTGCATCCGACTCCAAAAATTTCCTACCGTTCTTTTGAGTTTTGCACTTCCATGCGACTTCATGTGTTCAGTAAAGAAAGAGTGTGTTCCGAAATATAACCCAGCATACTGGTCAGTGCTGACGCCATATTGTACTGGTGTGCCACCATATTGTACTGGTGAAACAAGTGTGTCGTAACAGTATATCAAACGGGCGTGTGTGCTTCAGAGTTTGGACAATTTTTTATTGTAATAAACGTTAATAACTTTTGGGGCAAAATTGTTGTAAACGAGCACAAACACTATTCTCAATATGGCGTCAATTAGACGTCAACGCACTGGCCAGTAAATTTCGGAACGAATCAACAGTATGGCGTCGATTCACGACGTCATCAGCACTGGCCAGTATACCGGGTTATATTTCGGAACACACCCAAAATAACTCTTCAAAAATTTTATCACTTAGAAAAACTGGTCTATCTTGTGTACAAAATATGCATTTGCCAAGATAATATTTCCTTAGTTTATCAGCTCCAAAGGTTTGTTTAAGCGACATCATTTAAACCATAACTTGTATTGTTGTTATTGTAACATCGATTATTTTTTAATTATAAAAATATCCCTAAACTTTGAAAGTAAATAAACTAACGCAGTGTTATCTTAAAAATAAAAGTCTCATTCAAATCGCCACTGTAAAATTTAATCACTGTGTTGTAGTAGTAATTTGGCGTTTAAGGAAAGGTCGAATCAAACTGTTTACTGGCGACGTATTCTTTCTTATAAGTCAACTAGGTTACCAGAGTTCTTCTCGCAACTATTATTTAAAGGAAAAAATAAAAATATCACCCAATTGTAGCCTGATGACTTTGTATTTAAACCTCTAAGAAATCCAACTGAAGATTTTCCAGCGGGATTTTCATTAGGTGATCGTAGGCCACAAATATCTCGTAAAATATCGGGTTTACGTTAATTTTAGTTATTATAAAATCTTTTTGTGAGAAAAATCTGCGTTAAATAGTTTAACCAATAATTTTCTAGATACAAAGCCTAAAACATTGGGGCATTACCAATCCTCGCTGACTTTTTTTTCTTTCACATATTCATTTTCATCAACTATCTCAGCGGAAAATAACGAAAATTCAACGGCTTATTCCGCTGGAAAATCTTCAGTTTAATTTTTTTAGAGGTTTGGCTCTTATCTGTATGAGCAAATTACTAATGGGCTAAATTTATAAACGTATACTGATCGTTTAACTCAAGCTACTTTGGTACCTGCTGTGATTGTGTGTGAAAAATGAGGTTGATTGTAACGACTCTTATTCCCGAAGAGCTTTCCATTGTTTCCGTTCCCGTGTGAATATAGCGCAAAGTGCATACGCCTACGTACGTGTTTATACGGTCTACGATGTGGTTGAGTGCAAATTGTTCTTTGAGTTGTCTCACACGTAGGCGATGCAAGGAATCGACGCGACGCGACGCGACGCCGACTGACGAACGCGGCGCGTCGGCGTCGCCTTGTGGAACTAACCGAATGAGCAACGCCAACCTAAACGAGTCCGATAGAAATCAGCAATAAAAGCAATTAGGGGTAGTTGTTACAACCATGCCGGCGGCTGAGAACGCTATTTTCCCTACCTAATTACCCGCCGTACAAGACATGTGTCCACCTAAATCGTGTTCTCTTCTCTTTCTTCTGTCCGTCTGTACGTCCGTTTGAGTTGCGTTAAATCGTCCTGACATTGCTAATAATTAAATTCTGTAAGAACAAGGTAAAGAGGGAAACCAAAGGATATGACCAACTCAATTTTTACATAAGATTTAAGTCAACAAGTCTTGCACGATTTCGTAACTAACAGTTGTTTATAAAATATCGGGTAGTTATGATAATTACCTTATAAGGGTACATTCAAATTTTGCATATACAAAATTTTGTTGATTATAATAGTCCCTTTATAAGAAGAAACGAGATTTGTAAAATATTTTTAAACACAAATCGAAAACAATTCATTATTCTTATTGTAGAAAAGAAGAAAAACGTGGTAAAATAATAATTAAAGAAACTAAGTCCTGTTTTTAGTACTATTACCATTTTTTAGTTTTTTGTATTTTAATTCGTTTTTGAATTTTTTCAAAAATAATAACTTTTTAATTTTAATTANATTTAAATTATTAATAGTTTATTCATCATCATAAGGTCGTCAGTCCTATGACTGGTTGGAAACGTACCTCCACCTCTTCCTATCCTGAGCTAATCTTCGCATTTCCCTAAAACTAGAACAACCAACATCCTTAACTATTTGCGAACAGTAATCTAATCTAGGTCTACCTCTACTCCTCCTGACTCCCGTTTCTGCCTCTAGTCTGTCTCTGACTAGACCTTCATTCCTGAGAAGGTGTCCTGCCAACCTATCTCGCCTATTTCTTATTGATTTCCATAGAATCCTGTCTTCTCCTATTCTTTCTAATATCTCTTAATTTCTAATAGTTTATTACTGATACATAAAATTTAAGTTGTTGTTTTTTATATTTAGAATTACGTAACAACTTTTCTTCTTGAGTTATGAAGCTCGTGTTCTTTTAATCAATTAAATGTTCTAATTTCGTTGTTTTTTTCTAACAAATAACGCTAATAAATTTTAAAACAAAAAGGATACTTTGTCTTTCACAACACGAGTAAGTATGACCCAGTTGCCTGTTACATCTTACGCTCTCTGGAATCCCTCCATCCGAGTTTTGACGTAATTATCAATTTCCAGGATGTACTTCAACTTCATGTATAACTGTCTTAGATGGAATTTTCGAATTACGGGAAATTTATGAACACCTGTGCTCTCATTTTCCCTAATAAACCACGTGTACTATTCCATGTTAGTGTCTCGCAACCCCTAAGCAGTCGGGTAGCTGTTGAGGTGCCCAGAAAAGCCTCGGCGATGAGCATACCATTATCTTGTTCGTGCATACTTGTGTGTCACTTACGTGATATCTATCCGAAGGCATTTAATGAAGCCTAACTAGGTGACGTCAAGATGTGTTTTGATAAGGGAAATGAAATTGGCGAAGTGTTTCTATGAAACTAGATACAATTTATTTCGAATCAATTTGAATTAATCAGAAGGTTTTAATTGAAAAGGCGTTATTGTCACTCATCACTCGGTGATGGTTGTAATTATAAATAGCCCTGCAACCCCTATTGACAATATACCAATTTGAATAGGTGGAAAGTGATACAACCAAGCGTATTTGTCTTTGTCCATAAGAATGCTTTGAAATGTTCTAAAAAACATTTAAGGATGTTCCAAAAATGATGTGTGTTCAATAAGGGTCGACTGATAACTTTTATGTTTCCTTTTAACTCAAAAAAAAGCGACCACTCTTTAAGTTACAGAAAGAAAAAGATGCTTCTTTATATTTATTTCACTTTCGGGTGTGTGCCAAACAAATTTGATTTAAATCATGTTTTTAGATAAATAATTTAGATCTGTTCAACCCAGTTAGGTAATAATAAATCGGAGACCGTATATTTTATTTATATTTGCACATTTTCAACGTCTAGTACCTATGTAGAGTACGTAGAGTGTATAGGTTAATCAGTAAAACCATAATTGAGAAAATTACGTGTAATACTACGATGCAAGGATGCTCCCATAACCATTTAGGTGCTGACTACGTACGTATTAAAACGTTTAGGGTAGTACATACGTGGGAGTATCTAATTTGAACATGAAGGTTGTAAATTTAAGAAAATGACTAGTCGTAAGTGAGCAGCTCTGCTAGAGATGGTGCAGCCGTTAAACAAATATGCGTCTACCAACGTGAATTTAGCTGTTTCATTGTAACTTTTATTGCATACCTGTCCGGTGCCTAGGCGCGCGATATTACGTTGCCTCTCTTGGTCCCACCGACACTTTTACACCGATATAAATGCGCTCTTTGGCATAAGTAAAGGTAATATGAAAGGTCTATCCCTTAATTACATTCTTGAGAAAATTTATCAAGGTTTATTAGAAGAAAATGTCTGACGGAATGCTATGGTAACTCCTAACTACTTTCGAAATTAAATTCGCTCAGCAAACTTTCCTCTTTCACGTAACACGTTTCTCTCTAATTACAATTCATTTATTTATACGGATGTCTGAACTTTTTCGATTATTGAGGAACAGGATGTGATGACGACAAATTGCTATTTTTACAATTATTTTGACCCCTTACACTTTTCAGACTATTCCTTCTCATTTTAATGTCTCATCATGAGATATCGTTTGAAGTTTCAAAGAAAATCTTGATAACATTATTGCACAACAATCAATTTAATGAGTTTGTTCATTAAAAATCTTTATTACATAGATTATTTAATATTAACGTAATCGAAGACTATTTAAAGATTTATTTTTTTTAATCGTTCCCAATGAAAAAAATTGAACTATTGATTACTATAACATTTATTGTCAATTCACTATAAATGAAGTTTCGGCCGGATGGTAAAATAGTGCAGATATACCTGACATTGACTTTTTCATTTTTAAGTTAGGAAATTACCCTGCCTTTTTGCTCTTTCTGCCACGTTATCTCACCGAACACTCTTCTTGCTTAAAGTTACAACAAAAAATCACACATGAATTGAGGTTTTAGCCTGATTTATGGGTTCTTCACTCCACTCCTTAATTTTGTTTTCTTTCCATTTAATACTCTATACAAACTTACCGACAGCGAACCTCAAATAGGTGAACTCGACAATCCAGGGAAATTCAAAATTCTAAAAAGTTTATTTTATAATCTTGGAAAAGCTTAAATCTAGTGTTTGTGATATTGAAAATATTTTACACCAATGTCAAACGACTTTTTTAAAATAATAAATTTCAGAAACGGCATACTACACCCCAAATTATTTGAGTTTAAACAAAAATTGTATAAGTAGTAAAAACCACGCTATATTAATTTACCTTTTTGAAAATGTTAATCATTAGCAGTATTTCTTTCAAACCAGTTGTTTCTTATTGAGGAATCTTTACACTCTTTTTTAATTGTTGCTGAATTTTTTTGATTTATAGTATTGGATTTGAATTTATAGGTATTTTCTTTTTTTTCAGATATTCCTGTATCTAAAGAAAATTTACCCCCATTAGGGATGTAATTCTCATTTAGAAATTGAGACA